CCCCGCCGCTCGGTGCCGCACCGCCCCGCACCGCGCTCCCGCTCCGCGCTGCCGCTAGGCCGCGCCGCACCAGGCCGATCAGCCGAGCGCCGAGCCCGGGCCCGACCAGCCGAGCGCCGAGCCCTGCCGGGCCAGGCCGATCAGGCGAGAGCCGAGCCCCAGGCCGACCAGCCGAGCGCCGAGGCACCGCCCCGCCGCCCGCTCTCTTCTCACCCCGAGATGGCGGCGGGGACAGGAGCGCGGCCTCCCCCAGCCCCAGCCCGGGCAGCTCCCGCTCCCTGATCTCCTCCGGGCTCCAGCGGTAGCCCGGTGCCGGGCAGGCCCAAGCTGTGTCCCCTCAGAGAGTGCCGAGGCCGCTGCGCCCTGACGGGGAGGAGGGGGGAGCCCTGCGGCCCACCCCAGCCAGGCCCTTCTCCTCCTTCTTCGGCCCCCTCCTCCGTCTCACCCCCATAAAGCTTTTTTTCACGGTAGTTTCCCGTGAAATAGCTGCAGGGGTGGCCGGGGCCGTGCTCCCCGGGGGACAGCTCTCCTCCAGCCCCGGCAGCGGCAGCGCTTCGGCCGCTGGGCAGCAGAGGGACCCGGCGGCCCGCGAACGCGGCCCCCAGCGCCATGGGCCTCCATAGCGGGCTGCTCTGACTACAGCAGTACCAGTGCTCCCAGTACCCTCTCCTTGTTGAGGTCAGGACCCTCCACTCTCCCCTTGGACACCCCCCAGGCCGCCCTGCAGCCCCACAGCCAGGCATGGGCCGCAGGCAGGGCCTAGTGCCAGAGCACGGGTCAACAAACGGAGAAGGGAACTGCTGGAGAGGGGACAGCAGAGGGCCACAAAGATGATGAGGGGCCTGGAGCATCTCTCTTACGAGGAGAGGCTGAGGGACTTGGGTCTTTTTGGTCTGGAGAAGAGAAGACATAGGGGGGGATCTAATCAATGCTTCTAACTTCTTGCCCCAACGCCAGACCCCTGAGCCGTTCCCTTCCTCCCGAAGCCACAGCACTCAGTGTCTCACATTTGCTGTCCCCTGCTGAGAGTGCACAGCTTCCTGCTGATGGGATGGGCTGAGTACAGTCCTTCTACATTTTATACTGTATCGGGATCAATACTAGTTCTTTAGTAGTATTAATGTTAATTATTTAGTCTTACCATATTAAATCTATTTCTATTTCAACCCTCATATTTCCTTGTTTGTCCCTTATTCCCCTTCCTGGGTGGGGAGGGCTCATCAGGTGATAGGATAATTGTCTAAATGAATAAATTGTTGTGGGTTGCCCATAACAGGGGCAACAGTGAGGAAGAGCTGGGGCAGCTGAGAAGGCTCAGCCTGCTGTGGCCAGCTGGGTGATGCCACTGCAACGTGGAGCAGGTCACCAGGTCTGAGCTGGGCTACTGTGGCTGATGCTGGAGTTGGCTGGTGGCAGCAGGGCTTTGCAGGCAGGTGAGCCACAGCACAGATGACCTGGATGGAAGGTGGCAGGTGAAGGGAAGCAGTTCACCACCCACCCCCAGGTCCCAAATGTCACCACCCCACTGCTTCTGTGGCCAAGGAGAAATACTTCCCCACCCCCCTAAGCGAGACGAGGCAGAATGATTTCTGGATCCACTGCCGTCGAGGGAAGGATTTGGGTTTTTTTTTTGTGACATTTCTGTGAACCCAGAGGATGTGATAATAGGTTAAACGCTGCAGTCACGTTTGGCACCACGCAGTGGTCAAGTTGTTGACGGCTGCACTCGTTTTAAAAGCAGTCAGGAGAGAGCGAGAGAAAGAGGCAGCTGTCATAAGCAGAAATGAAGAATTAGCAGCACTGTTCTACGTAGCTCGGGAATCACGCGGTGGTAGAGACAAGGGAGCCTTTAGTCATTTCAGGCAGTTGTTAAAACAAGACCCTCAGCCTCCCAGAAAGCAGGTCCTCCCTCTGACAAAGCCAAAGAAAACGGGGGCCTTTCTCCCTCAGCACAACACAGCTGCATCCCTCCGCTCTACAGCCCTAATAGAATCATAACCCAAAGCAGACAGATTCTTGGTCTCAAATGCTGTCTACAAGCTCTTAAGAGCCCTTTCTTTGTAAGGGAAACTCAAAGCAAGGATTTTTAAGATGTGTGTTCCCCACCTGCCAACTAAGAAACAGCAGCTGGCCCTGGATGCAACCTCAGAGCCAAAGAGCAAACGAGGAGTCAGGCTGCACTAAGAAGATTTTCCAGAAAACAGCTATTATAGATTTGGCTTTGGCGCCAAGAGGCAACAGAGAAACGGGCTTTTAATAAATTGCCTAAATATGTATTTATCTTGAAGATCCAGCTACTTTGATCCTCTGAGCATAGCAGTGTCAGACAGATTTTAATAGCTCCAAGCAAGCGTTGCAATAGCTTGGATAAATAATCTGAATTTTATTACTTTCCAAGAATGATTTCTGAGGGAGTTAGTGCCCTGGGAAACGCTGGGAGCTGATGTTGCTGCATGAACTCGACGTGTAGGATTTGTTTCTCTTTCCCTGGCAGGCTGGAGGGCAGCATAAAGCAGGATAAAGCTGGGACCGCTGGGGATTGGTCATTTTAAATTGCATTGCTTCACCCAGTGTGTATTTAAAGTTATGCCAGGATGTAAGGGTAAACATCTTTCTTCTTCTTTTTTTTTTTTTTAGCATTTCAGTACATCTAAATATACCAGTGAGCAGTATTTAGAAGCAGGCCACCCCGTGAGCCAGAGAACTGAAAGGCAGAGCTGACGCAGTCCTCCTGATCCACAGCTCATCTTTCCTGACTGTGCGACACAGCAACAGAGATGAATGTTTGTTATTTTACAACCCAAAAGGGCAGAAGCCAGGAGAATTTCACCCCTCTCCCGGCCCCTGGTTTGGCCCAGCGTCGAAAGGAGAATCCTGGAGCAACAGAAGGAAGTCCTGGTTTGTGATAAATCATCCGATTTATTCACGTTTCTCATCTGGTAAACGTGAAGATCTGTTAAGACACGGGAGCCTGCAGCAGCACAGCACTGGGAAAGGATCTTCCCTCCTGGGAGGACTCCCTTCTTTTCTTTTTTTTTTTCCCCATTTAAAAAGCTCAGCTCCAGCTACCCAGGCACTACCCCGGGCGCCTGGCCCGTGGTTAAATATTGCAAAACCACCACAACAAACAAAAGCCTCCACAGCTCTCTGGGGCACCAGTAGCTCCTTTCCCTCCCCAGCCAGCCCAAGGGGGATGGTGGCCCCGTGGCTCCCGGTGTCTGTGAGCCGTGGTGGGGCACAGGGGGGACACAGGATGCTCCGAGCACGGGTGGGAAAGGGGAGCCAGCCCCCCTGCCAGCTCATCCAGCTGCGGATGCATCCCTCTCCCCATATCCAAATATTCCCATCCACAGAATCATAGAATCGTCTAGGTTGGAAGAGACCCTTGGGATCATCGAGTCCAACCATCTACCCTACTCTACAAAGTCCTCCCCTACACCATGTCCCTTAGCACTGCCCCTAAACGCCCCTTAAACACAGCCAGGGATGGTGACTCCACCCCCTCCCTGGGCAGCCTGTTCCAATGCCCTATCACTCTTTCGGTGAAAAATTCTTTCCTAATGTTCAATCTAAACCTACCCTGTTGGAGCTTGAAGCCATTCCCTCTCGTTCTGTCACTAATTACCAAGCGCAGCCCCAAACCCTGGCCAGAGATGCCAGCCCAGCCTGGCACGGGACGTGTATTTGGGATACAAGTTTTTCTGAAGGTAAAAGACCTCTATGAGAACAAATCTGACGGTTTTGTTCCTGAACTGTTTCTCCTTCTGGGCTGATGAGGATCTCCAAGCCCAACCAGCTGCTTTATTTCAACATAAAGACGCGGCAGTGCATCGTCGCCCTGTCCTGGCTCTGCTCGGGAGGGTGGCTGCCTGAATTTGGAAGAAGCACAGATCCGTGGGTCGGGGGAGATCAATAGTTTATTAACTTAAAAGGTCAGTTCGCCAAAGCTCCATCTTTCCTTGGGCTGGGCTGGGGCCAGGCAGGAGAGGACAGGGTGACGCCGTGGCTGTCCCCTCGTCACCTGGCTGAGGTAAGCTCTAGCTGGGCAAGCCCGGGCAAGGGCGCCTGTCGTTTGGGAAGAGGTGACCATCATTGTGAATTTCATTGGCAAAAAAAAAGAGGTTTAACTCGCTAAAACTATCCACAGTGAAAATCAGAACATGCAGCGCAGGGAAAGAGTGTTTTACATCCGTCTGGTGCAAAGAGCGGCTCGGCGAGGCCAGAGAGGAGAAAAGGAGAAGGATGGAAGACCAAAAAGACTTCCCACTCCCATATAAAAAATAGTCCACAGAGAAAAAAAACAAGGATTGTATAAGTTATTTTTAAAAAAAAATCTGTAAAACAACATAGCCAAGGATATTTCAAACACAATTATATAAACACCACGTGACTTACTATTAAGAGAGAGCATGAAAAGGTTTGTTTCGGGGAAGGGTTTTGTAGAATTAAGAGTTTCCTGGCTGGATCCCTGGAATGTCTCTTTTGGAAACAGATGCCCGAGAAAAATCACTGCTGTGAACAGGAGGATTTTGTGAAGAGAGAAGGGGAAACCCAGCGAAACCGGGGGAAGAAGGATCGTAACGCAAAATGCCAGAAAAGATTAATTAGGACACCATCTCCTTTAGAGGAAGGATCTAGAACTGAACTAATCAGCAGCTTCCTAGCAGTTCCAGGAGGGAAATCCATTTCATGGGAAGGCTGTGACCCCCCCCTCAGCCCCCCCAGCCCAGGCTGGTCCGTGGGGGATGAACCCCCCGAGTCCCTCAGTCCCCGCAGGCAGAGGGGATTTCCCTGCCTGCAGGTACCTGCGGGGCAAAGCCCTGCTGGACTCGCTGGGCTGATGCCTGCAGAGCCATGGGGTCAGCTCTTGCTTTGGTCCTCAAACCTCCAGTTATTGCCACGGCCAGAGAGAAACAGCCACCGACCGAATCTGAACAGGAGCACCGGAGCGGGCCCCAAGGCACCACCGCTCCGGGAACCACCTAATTCATCGTTTGACCTATGGACAGAGCACAGTACTGGCTGTTCACAATGCAGCCTGCTATCAGACAGAAAAGGGTACCAAAAACGGGGCCAGAAACAGCTTTTTTCTTCGCAGACGCGTCAAGTCCTGCATCCTTGGCGGGGAGGGCTCCTGCCAGCCGCTCGGAGCGGGCACATCAGTAGGATTTCTGCGAAGAACCGAGCGTGTGTACACGGATCCTGCACTGGTCCCTGCTCCTGAGGAGTGTTTGAGAGTATTAATATCACCGCTGCCTTTCGGGACTCCATCATCGAGGGTAGGATCCAACCCCTGCTTAACATATCACTATAGAAACGCACCGACAGTGATATTAAAGCTATCAAACTCACGAGCGAACGCTTGACAGCACCATGTAAACTCTCCCCAAAGCTGAAAAAATAAACTTTTGTCCTTAAAACATTTGGCAAAACCGGGCTGGCAGTCGGTGGAAGTCCTGGATGGATGCAGCCGCTTGAACTTTTACCCGGCCATAAGACACGTCTGACAGCAGAACTGCACAAACAGCTTCTTTTCACAGAGCTTGTTTGATTTCACCATCTCACAGAAAGTCTTGTCAGCTGGGAGGCCGGGGCAAGGAACAAGAGAAAA